CCTGGGGGACGCAGGACATCTCTAGCAGGGTGCAGAGCATCTCCTGGGGGACGCAGGACATCTCTAGCAGGGTGCAGAGCATCTCCTGGGGGACGTAGAACATTTTCTGAGGGATGCAGAACATCTCCTGGGGGACGCAGAGCATCTCCTGGGGGACGCAGAGCATCTCTTGGGGGACGTAGAGAATCTCCAGAGGGACGCAGAACATCACCTGGGGGACGCAGAGCATTTTCTGAGGGACGCAGAGCATCGCCTGGGGGACTCAGAACATCGCCTGGGGGACGCACAGCATTTTCTGAGGGACGCAGAGCATCTCCTGGGGAACGCAGAGCATTTTCTGAGGGATACAGAGCATCTCTTGGGGGACGCAGAACATCGCCTGGGGGACGCAGAGCATCTTCTGAGGGACGTTGAGCATCTCCAGAGGGACGCAGGGCATATCCAGAGGGACGCAGGGCATCTCCTGAGGGACGCAGGGAATCTCCAGAGGGACGCAGGATATCTCCAGAGGGATGCTGAGCATCTCCTGGGGGACGCAGGGCATCTCCAGAGGGACGCAGGGCATCTCCTGGGGGACGCAGGGCATCTCCTGGGGGACGCAGGGCATCTCCTGGGGGATGTAGAGCATCTCCTGGGGGATGTAGAGTATCTCCAGAGGGATACCGCACATCTCCAGAGGGATGCAGGGCATCTCCTGAGGGACGCAGAGCAGTTCCAGTGTGACGTAGCACATCTCCAGAGGGATGCAGAGCATCTCCAGAGGGACGCGGAACATCTCCTGAAGGATGCAGCACATCTCCAGAGGGACGCAAAGCATCTACTGAGGGACGCAGAGCATCTCCAGAGGGACGCAGAGCAGTTCCAGTGGGACACAGCACATTTCCAGAGGCACGCAGAGCAGTTCCAGTGGGACACAGCACATTTCCAGAGGCACGCAGAGCAGTTCCAGTGGGATGCAGCACATCTCCAGAGGGACTCAAAGCATCTACTGAGGGACGCAGAGCATCTCCAGAGGGACGCAGAGCAGTTCCAGTGGGACGCAGCACATCTCCAGAGGGATGCAGTGTGTCTCCAGAAGGACGTAGCACATCTCCAGGGGGATACAACATGTCTCCAGGGGAATGCAGCACATCTCTAGAAGGATGCAGCACTTCTCCTGGGGGACGCAGCATGCCTCTGGGGGAATGCAGGGTGTCTCCAGAAGAATGCTGTACATCTCCAGAGGGTTGCAGCATAGCTCTGGTGGGATGCAGCAAATCCCCTGGCAAGCGTGGCCAATTGCCTAGTAAGTGTGGCCCACCTCTTGGTGAGCATGGCATGCTTTCTGGTGACTGTGGCGTGTCTTCTGGTGCACACGGCACATTTCCAGGTAAGTGTGGCATTTCTGCTGGTGATGGTGGTACATCTTGCAGTTGCTGTGGCATGTCTCGATGGTGTGCCACATTTTGTAGAAATGATATGTTTTGAAGTGGGCCTGGTACATCTTGATGCAAGCCTAGAGAGTCATCATGAGGTGGGCAGAGGGAGTTTTGAGGTGTATTTGGTGAGAGCTGAGGAGGCCACAAAGAGTCTTGAGGTGGGCAGAGTGAGTCTTGAGGTGGGCTCGGTGAGAGTTGAGGAGGCCATAATGAATTTTGAGGTGATCCCGGCATATCCTGCTGAGGGCATGGCCCATTCTGAGGACCAGGCACATCTTGAGGAAGAGATGGCACTTCTTGAAGTGAGTGAGGCAAAGCCTGTGGTCGGCACTGCACAGTTTGTGGAGGGCATGACAAGGCTCGTGGTGGACAAGAGGCAGCTCGTGGAGGACATGGTGAGGCTTGCAGTGGGCATGGCAAGGCTTGTGAAGGGCAAGGCACACCTTGCTGTGGGCATGGCAAGGGTGCCCTTTGACTTATGCTGCTACTATTATTGCTTGTTGAAGAGAAAGAGGGAGCGTTTGAAGTCAGCTGTAGGTTTGCCAAGAAGTTCAGGTCACCTATGAATGATGTTGAACTACAATTAGGCTCTGCTGGATAAACAGAGGCCCGACTGATGGATGTGGGAGGCTGGGAACCTCCCACTCTGGCCTCTTCCAAAAGGTCCACATCCACGGGATCGTTATTAACAAGTCTCTGTCCAACAGGCCAAGAACCCCAATCTGCCCGCCCTTCTGTCACCTCTTTGCTAGAGAAGGTGGCACATGTCTGAAGGCTGGTTGACTCCTGGGAAGGAGCAACAGATTCTAGAGTCAAATCAAAAGTAACAATTTGCCTGCTTTCTTCCTCATTTCTTGTCAGGTCGATCACACAGGGCCCATTATGATCCTTTGTCCTTGGTCTGGTGTCTCTTGTTAAGTCGATAACGTCCTGTTGAAAGATTGTGAGAAGACAAAAGTTCAAGCAGCAATTCTCAGCTTACAGGAAGATGTAAAACGTGAGCATTATTGTACCCTTTCACTGATATTTACAGATCTAGCATAAACATTTAGACATAGGGTGATCTGATGCCTTAATGGTAAGCAGTTGTGCTGCCAGCACAGAGGTCTGCTATTTGAATCCACCAGCTGCTCTGTGGGAGAAAGATGGGCAGTCTCCTTCTGTGTGATTTATTGCCTCTGAAAATCCGCTGGAGGATCAGCCACAAGTCAGTTTCAACTCCACAGTACACAACAAGAAGTAGCATAAACATAATTTCCTTTGGCTAACTTTTCCTACCATCAAAGCTGTCAATATCTATTATCTTCTTAATTTAGCTCAATGTCATGTACACATAACTAGGGGTGTTGTTATTATGTACCATGAGCTTGGGAGGAGACTGTGATATAGGAGGAGACTGCCCATCTGTCTCCCACAGAGAACTTGGTGGATTTCAATTTTGAGTTTTTGGGTTGGCAGCACAACACCTTACCACTAAGCCATCAGAGGTCTCCCCCATATCCCCTAGAGTTCCCTGTTGTTGTTGCTGAATATTATCGAGTTGGAACTGACCCGCAGCTGACCCTCAGTCAGTTTTCAGAGGCAGTAAATCACACAGGGAAAATCTGCTGTCAGGGACCTCTGCAGAGTACTGTAAAGAAACGATGTCAGTCTAGAGACCAAGGTACACCTAATCAAGGCCATGGTCTTCACAATTACTTGTTACGCATCAGAGAGTTGGACAAAGAAGAAATGATGCCTTCAAGTTGTGGTGCTGGACAAGAGTCTAGACCATACCATGTTCTGCCAAGAAAATAAACAGGTTTGCCTTGCAGAGGGTGAAATCAAGTTTCTCCTTGGAGGCTAGGATTTTGAAGCTCTGTCTCACATATTTTGAACACATGGCCAGGAGGGACCAGTCCTTGGAGTAGGATATCGTGTTCATAAGTGTGGAGGAATAGTGCAGAAGAGGAAGACCTTGGATGAGATGGATTGATACAGTAACTGGGGCTGTTGGGGTTGGTGTGCTGGAATCAGTGAGACTGGCTCAGGACAGGGCAGGCTTCAGAGCTTCTGTACATGAGGTGCAGGTGACACAATGGCACATAACAATAGCAAATCATACAAGAGATTGCCCATCCTTCTTCAGCCGAGCATTTGATGGATTAAAACTGAGTGCCTTCAGAGTTCCCTAGGAGTTGGTATATACTGGGAATTGCTTTCTTTTTCTTTTTGTTTTGTTTTTTGTGGAGTTTTTTTATTGTGGGTTTTTTGTTTGTTTGTTTGGTTTTTTTTTTACACCAAGTTTGGTGGAGTCACCAACAAACTTTGAACAAATACATGCCAAATATGTTCACTATACAACATGTCCACTATCACACACTACCCACAGCGTGTGGGGCCGCTGTGCAGAGGGACAGCCACACCATTTTGGAGATAAGCAGTGACATAGTTTCTGGAGGAGGAGAGAATGAAAAATAAAACAGATTCCAACAACTATATATATATGTATAAACACAAGGGAATTGTTTTCTAATGAAAGAGAGACAGGGGAGATTTCATCCTTAGGTTATAAAGTAATAAGAAACTTCTGTTTGAAAAAGCAAATACAGAGGATAACTATAATGAAAGCTAAACAAGAAAGGATCTGTTTACTTGTTAAGAACATGTTGAGTGCTTTCACACAACACCTATAACATTAATGAAGACCCCATGAGGTAGGTGTCCATTATACAGATGAGCGCACTAAAATTCAGATCGTTGTTATATTATTATGTACCATAAAGTCAGTAGATTAGTAGTAGAAGTAGAAGTAGAAGTAGAAGTAGAAGTAGAAGTAGAAGTAGAAGTAGAAGGGATATACCTTTAACTTGCTGGTCTGTCTAATACTTCTCTTAATCTGAACATTCACATTAAGACAGACTAGGAAGAAGGATTGGCCATCCACTTCTGAAATAGCAGGCCTCTGAAAACCCTATGTACAACATTTAGATAACAGAGATGGCAAA